CGCACGCATACATAGGCAATGGCAAGGGATTCCACCCTATTGTTTTTTTGGGGGGGTAAGACGACGACAACATTTTTCAAATGAAGACCTATCTTTTAAGTGTTACTATACTTTAGTAGTTTTAAGTTAATTCCTGTTTGAACATTACACAACCCTTTGTCATTTGCCTCTTTGCAGGAATGTGAACTTGAAATACAGGTGATTTATTGGCCCAGAAGAGAATAAATCTGTTAGTAAATTTAATAATCACTTCATATGTGATCTTGTGGTTACTTTAAAAGAGCGAAGCAAGAATGCATGCTGATATACCTTGTGGAATGTCCCCTCAAGCCTAGAACGATCTGTTATGCAACTTTTGACCAACTATTGTCAGGAGCTCAGGTTCACCCCTTTCTTCGCCTCACTACTTTTTGAGTCTGTGTTTCAATGAGGGAGTTAGTGATCACAAACCAAATTTCTCAACCGTTTACCCAATTGTATTATACTCCTTTCACTTCATTAGGGTAACATGAAATGTATATTCAGTTGTATATACATGAAGTATTCACTGTTAGGATCTCAAGAATTTCTCGACTCTTCTGAATATACCTTGATTTCCACAATGCACATCTGCTCACATTTATTTGCAGGCTGAAGACATAATGTTGACACAGCATTTGTGTAGTTTGATCGTCTGCCTGACTTAATATTGTGTGGGCCATGCTTGTGCAGTGTGCATCAGCGCAGTCATCAGAAGTCTTCCCCATGGGGTACAGGTTGACCATTCAGGAGCACAGCTGAGGTTCACTTTGTCATACATGAGACGAGTTGGCGCAAGTTTGATGTCCATAATTCCACAAAGGGGGGGGGGTAGAAGAGCAAAGAATAGGGGGAGGGGGAAAGAGGAAAGGAAACAGGGACCACTTGCTGGATCCAATAGGGAGTCCACTAAGGGGAGGGACCAAAAGTGGTTAGTACCTCAAGGCAGCCTTCAAAGTAGAGTAGAAGCAGATTTCCAATGTCACATGTAAAAAAGGAATGACAAAAGGCGCCACTGAGTGCAGACCGTTAAATACTTTAATTACAAACGATAGTGTGAATGAACACTCACATTGTGAAGGATTAAGGTGCACCTGAAGTCCAATAGAGATACATCCAGGAGCGGTTGGCATCTGCTGTGGGTCAGGGCATCCAATTCCTAGGTCCTGAAGCTGGCTGACAGATGGAGTGGGACCGGAAGGCTGCTGTGTACTGTGGTGGAATGCAGGTGGAGCACAGAGTACGGTATATCCGCAGCACTGGAAGTGACGCAACAATGTTTCGGAGCATGTGCACCAGCCAGGGGGCGCGCTCCTTTATCAAGCTTCACTTGTTATCCAATAATATTATTCCCAAGCCTGGATCAGCTCTGGAGCCTGGATGTCATCTGACAGAAGACTTTAGCCCATTGTCACCTGAAAATGGATCACAGGATTGCAGAATGAACTGCACTTCTGTGATCCATAGGGGGAGCATGACCAAAATGGCTTTGGCTATACTTCCCCTTTTTAATTGTAGAAAGATAACACATTACAATGCACAAAGTGCAACTTTTCATGGCAGGATCCTTTCGTCTAGTTTCTAAAGTGCTATTCACCAGACTTAATAATCCCGCCAAAAAGCACAGTATGCAATGCTAAATAAATAATACTATTACTAGAACACCTGTGCATCAGCATTCCAAAGAGTAATGACAACTTAAATATATTTAATGACTGTTGCCCCTTCAGTGCTCAAGCCAAAACAGCAATAAAGTCATGATGGTCTGCCAGATGTGCCTGATCGCTACATAAAAGCCAGCAGGACCTGACATCACCATCACCAGGCAACCCAACCCAGCAGCCAATCAGATAAGTATACATTGTCTTCTCATGCGCTGTGTGGCCGATCGTGTTCTGGTAACCGTTGGACGCTCACTGGTAGGGATGCTAATGCCATGACAACCCATGAAGTCAGGATTCCTCACCACACCAAATGGAAACACATACACAGGTGCCATACATGGAATTAAAGCATGGGTACTAAACCTGTTGACCTAGAAGTCCCATCGTGCCTCTGCCTTTGGGAGCCATGCTTGTAACTGTTAGTGCCTTGCAATGCCTCATGGGACTTGCAGTTCCACAACAGCTGGAGGGCCACAGGTTGAGCACCTATGAATTAAAGTATTTTAGAACCTCTGAGGAAACCCTTTATCAGGTTGATGAGGAGATTCCCCCCCCCCCCCCCCCAAAACACACACACATTCTTCCTGGTGACCATTTCCACCATGGCTGTGGGAGTGAGAAAATCCAAAAGTCACTGAAAACAGAATGTAGGGAAAATCTTCCAATGGGAACACTTGTTCAAGTAACAGCACTTTGAAGAGATCTCCACTTGCTGTCCTTGACAAGACAAAACAAATAAAACTGTCGGGTTTTAACCTTTTCTCTTCTCTGTGCAAAACTAACAAAACATTTGGCTTTAGATTTACCGTAACTGTTTTCTGGCGGTGCATATGATATCCTCAATAATAGGTTTTTCTAACAAAACGACTGTATAGTTTTGGTGTTTTGGAAAAGATCACCTACAATTTATTTTTAGCCAGTATAAACCACAGACTGATGGTAACACGTCTGAATGTCTGTTTTGTTGAGTTGAACCCATGTCAGCACAACTGGTGTATGACATGTCAGGCCGCATAGGAAATGTGTTTGTGGAAGCAGGTTTTCTGACTTCTTAGCACATAATAATCACTTCTAGAAGCCAAGCATATTAAAGAACTAATTACAAGATCTGTAAAGCTGAAGAAAGTGGCATGGGCAAATGTTGGCAACCACAGGCATATTCCTTAGCAGGCTTATTTCAAACACTTGATGCCTGTGTGCCTGTAATATTCAAACTGGTTGGTGTTTGCATACCTCTGCTGCTAAATAAAGATACTATAAATCATTGCGACTAAACCCTGACACACACTCAAAAAAAAACAACTTTTTTTTTCTTAACCTACTGAATTACAGTGGTTGGTTGCTGTTGGAAATACCTTACTTTCTCCTTAGCGTAGGTAGAACTCCTTAGGTTAGCCATACATGTTAAGATTTCTCTCCTGGGCTGAAATCAAGAAAAATCAAGATCTCCCACATCCATGTTAAATAGATGCAGTCTATTGTATTCTGACAACCACTGCTCCTGTGGCTGTTCGAATACCCAAACCACGACTGCATCTCTGGCTGCAGTTGCTTTTTGGCAAATTTTCTACCCAGCATCTTCAATTGTCAGCTCAAAGTTTGTCAAGCTTTAGCAAGTTGCCAACAGGGCCACCCACAGCTCGTATTTGGACTGAGCTGGCAGGTATCATCCACAATTGGAGCCATGCATGACTAGCATTACACTAAAAGGAAATGTTGATGACAGTGGCAACATCAAAAGCTGATCGCTTGTGGCTAACGTTTAGCACATTTCGGTTGCCCCTGGACCAGAAAACATGTTGTGAATCTATCTTCATCTTCTTTGCAGGTTTTCTGTCACACCCTTTTTGAAAATGTGAAGCCCAATTGAAGCATTATTATTGTATTGTCTGTAATGCAAATAGGCTACTTAAAACAGTAATTACCTAATGCAGGCATGTTTATTTTTATTTTACTGTACTGTTGTGTGGCAAAAAAAGGTTAAATGCCCTGGGTCAACAGCACTCTGAAGATCTGAATCTCTGCTCAACTCAGAGTGCAGTGGTCTAGGTCTTCAGCAGTCTGACATGCCCCCTGCACAGTGCTTCAATCAACAGCACTGTTAAAGGGAGTAGTGAGGGGCAAAGGTATGTCTTTTTTATGTCGGCTTATATGAACAAGTTCCATATTGTTAGTCTGGAAAATTTGCTTTTTGAGTCTTCTCCAAGGAATCCTAGTTAAGAAATCCTCTGCCAAGCTGCGTTCATTCAAGCGGTGAGGAGGAGGCAGGTTCCTCTTGTTTGATCTGAAGATGATCGCATGAAATGCACAAGCAGGCTCGAGCTGGAGGGATGAGCTAATGAGAATACATATTAACAATAGCAAGGTTTATTTGAAATCTGTAGGAAAAATGTTAAATATTGCAACAAAGGAAAGTTTCCTTAATAAGAAAATGTATAATTTTCTTTCATGTGGCTTCAGTTGTCAATTCAGCCATCTGCAAGTCATGAAAGTAGAACATGTGTAGAGCCCATTGAAGTTGCGCTATCTATTTATTTTATCTCTAGGTATTCTGCTGGATCTGATATGTCACTCAGTTTCCCCACAGATTGCTTCATTTGGAATAGAATAAAAGCAAGCATTAGTAGGCCAAAAATAAATTCTTTTCTGTAATTTCTGATCACTTGTTCCAGTACTTGTAGAGCCAGAGGAGGAACACGACTATGTGGCGGCATGCAGTTTTATAGTTAGTGGAACATCACCAATTTTGCTCTTATTTCAAGGTGTGTGGTGTGAAAAGTTCATAACCCCCTTTTTTTTTTGGACTGTTATGAGACAAGGGATGCTCCTGTAGATTAGCAACTGTCTTCAGTTTTACAGCTTTTTACTTCTCCTGTACTCATGGTCTGAATGAAGGTGAAACGTTGTGGCAGTATTTAACCACCTTCCCCCCGCCCTATAGTAAAATGACGGGCGCAAGGTGGTTCTCTTGTTCTGATAGGACGTCATATGATGTCCTACCAGACTCACTGCGCATGCCTGGCTCAGGGAGCGCGCAGCGCAGCGATGTCCGGTGTGCTGTGTCCCTCGGACACAGCGGATCACGGAAAGAGCCAAAGATGTCGGCTCGGTCATGTGATCAGCTGTGTCCAATCACAGCTGATCACATGTAAACACGGAAATGCCGGTTATCAGCATTTCTCTCCTCTCGAGCTGTCACGCTGACAGCTCGAGAGGAGAGCTGGTAATCGGCTTTCCGCAGAAGGGACATGCACACTGATCATCAGGGCACTGATGATCAGTGTGGCCCCAGAAGTTCCACCTATCAGTGCTCATCATTGCCACCTGTCAGTGCTCATCAGTGCCACCTGTCAGTGCTCATCAGTGCATCAGTGCCACGTGCGTGCCAGTGCCACATCAATGCCACATATCAGTGCATACCAGTGCACATCAGTGCTACATATCAGTGCCCATCTGAGCTGCCTTTCAATGTCACCCGTCAGTGCTGCCAGTCAGTGCCGCCTAACAGTGCCAGTCAGTGCTGCCAGTCAGTGCCGCCTAACAGTGCCAGTCAGTGCTGCCTATCAGTGCCGCCTATCAGTGCTGCCTTTCAGTGCCCATCAGTGATGCCTGTCAATGCCCATCAGTGCAACCTACCAGTGTCTCCTCATCAGTGCCACCTATCAGTGCCCATCACTGCAGCCTCATTAGCGCACATCAGTGAAGGAGAAAAATCACTTACTTACAAAATTGTATAACAAAAACTAAGAAAAAAATGTTTTTTTTTTTTCAAAATTTTCAGTGGTTTTTGGTTTAAGAAAAAATAAAAATCCCTGAGGTGATCAAATACCAACAAAAGAAAGCTCTGTCTCAAAAAAATGATAAAAATTTCATATGGGTACAGTGTTGCATGACCGCGCAATTGTCATTCAAAGTGTGACAGCGCTGAAAGCTGGAAATTGGCCTGGGCAGGAAGGGGGTATAAGTGCCCTGTAGGCTAGTGGTTAAAAGACCTTCTTGCCTATATTACATCAAGTGAGCCACATTTTAATGCTCCATCCCCTTAAGACTACTTTCACACTGATCTGTCGCAAAAATACATAGGCGGTTTTACCGTACTTTTGCTGCACTTTCTAAGCGTTTTTAAAGGGCACATTACTTAAAAACTGCACCAAAGGAGTTTTTGAGGTGCTTTCCATTGATTTCAATGGGATGAGGTGTTTTTGGGGCGTTTTTTTTTTTTTTTTTTTTTGGTAACTCACCAAACATGCCCCAAAGATGCTACAAGCAGGCGTTTTCTACATCGCACTGCAAGCGCAAAGTGTCAAAACATACATAGATATACATACACAGGGAAGCATTTTTCTTGAGCTTTTCTGGAGTTTTTTTTAATGCAAAAACACTTCAAAAACTCGGTGTGAAAGTAGCCTTATGTTGTAGGATACAGATAAAAACCAGAGGGTGCATGCTAATCTTGAACTGCCCAGGCTGTTTTGGTGCACCTTAAATAAAGTGGTTATAAAGCATAAACATTTTTTACCTTAATGCATTTTTTGCAGTAAGATACAAAATGTTCAGGCATCACTATCGCCCTCTCATCCCCCCTAATATTTACCTGAGCCCTCATTTGATCCAGCCCTGTGCCTGTCTGTAGCTTTTCTCTCCCTGTGCTTCTTGCTGTCACAGGCTTTGCTGAGGCAGTGGGAGCAATTAGCTCTAGCTGCTGTCAAAGCCATTGACAAGGGAGCTGGGGGCAGTGGGGCTTGAGAGCGCACACAAGTGTCTCCATTGGGAGCAGCTTCCTATGGGGGCACTTGCTGCAGAGGAGCCTGGAGCACAGATGGCGAGATGATGAAGGTATGGGACAAATCTAAACAATTCCATTGCACAAAGCAGGTACAGTTGTGTTCAAAATAATAGCAGTCAGACATCACTAACCTGATCAATCACTGTTTTTGGTAGAAATGATATTTCTACATGGCAAATAATTTACTAGCAGGTGTAGTAGAGTAATAGAAATCCAACAGACCCAACAGTCATGACATGCATGCTGCTGATTCTGTGTAATTAAATCACTAATTGAAAGGGGCATGTTCAAAATAATAGCAGTGTGGAGTTCTATTAGTGAGGTCATTCATTCTTTGAAAAACAGGTGGCAATTATTGCCCTTATTTAAGGAAGGAAGGCAGCAAATGTTGTACATGCTGGTTACAGTGCATTTCTCTCTGAAATTCTGAGGAAAATGGGTCGTTCCAGACATTGTTCAGAAGAACAGCGTACCTTGATTAAAAAGTTGATTGGAGAAGGGAAAACATATAAAAAAAGTGCAGAAAATGATAGGCTGCTCAGCTAAAATAATAGCAAATGCTTTAAAATGGCAACCATAACCTGAAAGACGTGGAAGAAAGCGAAAAACTACCATTCGAATGGATAGAAGAACAGCCAAAAGGGCAAGGACTCCGCCAACAATCAGCTCCAGGAAAATCAAACAAGGTCTAAAGTTCCCTGTGAGTACTGTTACAATTCGAAGACGCCTATGTGAAGCCAAGCTATCTGCAAGAAGCCCCCGCAAAGTCCCACTGTTGAAAAAAAGACGTGCGGAAGAGGTTACAATTTGCCAAAGAGCACATTGACTGGCCTAAAGAGAAACATTTTGTGGACTGATGAAAGTAAGATTGTTCTTTTTGGGTCTGGTGGCCGGAGACAGTTTGTCAGACGACCCCCAAACACTGAATTCAAGCCACAGTACACTGTGAAGACAGTGAAGCATGGTTGCACAAGCATCATGATATGGGGATGTTTCTCATACTACGGTGTTGGGCCTATTTATCGCATACCAGGGATCATGGATCAGTTTGAATACATCAGAATACTTGAAGGTCATGCTGCCTTATGCTGAAGAGGAAATGCCCTTGAAATGGGTGTTCCAACAAGACAACGACCCCAAACACACCAGGAAATGTGCAACATCTTGGTTCCAGACCAACAAGATTGACGTTATGGAGTGGCCAGCCCAATCCCTGGATCTTAATCCAATAGAAAACTTGTGGGGTGACATCAAAAATGCATTTTCTGAGGCAAAACCAAGAAATAGAGAAGGACTGTGGAATGTAGTCCAATCATCCTGGCCTGGAATACCTGTTCACAGGTGCCAGAAGTTGGTTGACTCCATGCAACACAGATGTACAGCAGTTCTCAGAAACAGTGCTTATACAACTAAATATTCATTAAGTGATTCAAAGGAAAGCAAAATCTTCAAACATTTTTCAGTTTATATAGTGAATGTTTGAGTTTGTAAAGAAGAATACAAACACTGCTATTTTTTTGAACAGTCTAATATTCACTTTTCTTACATTTTTTTAGAGGAACAACACACAAATTTGATATATTTTTCTTCATGTTTTGATTTGGAATAGAATGTGTAATGTTCCCAATGCATTTGTGTGTATGGAAATAAAAGCTATTAGAAGGATTTTGAGCTCTATTCACTTTTTTCAACACACTGCTATTATTTTGAACACAACTGTAAGTAAAACCTGTTTGTTATTTAAAAAATAAATAAATGCAAAAAATGCATTTGCAATTACTTTAAACTGAGTTATCACAGCTACTCTGAACAGAGAGTGGTGACTGTCAGTCACCACTCTCTGCTCTACCCCCAGCTGAAAACCAGTCACAGGAGTGCAGTTCGTTCCACAGGAGAAGTACAGCCAAAAGAGCTTTGGCTGTACTTCTCCTTTAAGTCTCCATTCACTTGATGTCTGTGCTGTGGCTGCCTTATTTTTATAAACCAGTTGAACCACACAATGGCACATTTGTGTAATGATTAGCTTATTTTTGTCCTAAAAAAGGGATAACCAAACGTTTGCAGACACAGTGCAGGTGAACATGTAATTAATAGGGAATAGATCTTGTCTTTGAAGGTGTTTTCAGGTATATTTGAAACGTAAAGCTGAATGCCAGGTATGGCAATTTTTAAAGGATAAGTTCACCTTTTGGACTAAAATATTGAATGCACATTTTTTTGCAGGTAAAAAATGTGCATTTATTATTTTTGTCCAAAGGAGCCTGTAAAGCATTGCACCAGTGATCAGTAGATCGCTGATGCCATGCAGGTCTCATGCAGACTTGTTAGAATAATATCTGCTTGCCATACAGAATGAACAAGCAAGTAGATGTACTGACAGGAAGCTACAATAAACTACCACGGTGCTTCACAGTGCCGTGGTAGTTCATTGAAATTTACAAGCCCACAGCCGCTAAAGCTGTTGGGACTTGTAGGCACTTTTTCTCAGAACACTATAAATGAGTGATGTGGCCGTGTGGGTGGAATCCTGCATGACCGCACTGTTTTCAAATCTGACAGAGAATACGGGAAATTTCTCTCCGTACGATCTATCAGAGGGAGGGGGCGGCAGGCGCAGCTGCCTAAAAACGGGTGGAACATGTAACACGTTCCAAAGGTGAACTTGTCCTTCAAATTGGTCCAGCTTTGGCATCCAACCTGTGGGATCTCCTTGGAAGCTGGAAATTACTGTAGTGAGCAACACTACTACAGTGACCTCCACTAGCTTATGGGTCCCATGCTGAACTGCTGCCCTACTGCTCATTGAACACAGGAGGCTGCCTGCTTGGCACAGGTGCCATTCAGGGAACACTTTGCATTTTCTCAATGAATGCAAAGTGTTCTCCAATTGGATGAGGTGGAGTTTTTGATGTGTATCACCCTGCCTGTCCATTCCATCCATCAGATAATGCTTTGCAGTCATTGAGAGAATGAAGCAGGGCAGCCTTTTGGCATGGGACCCAGTAGCTAGTGAAAATCTCTGCAGTAGTTGTCCCTACTACAGTGATTTTCAGCTTCCACAGGGATCAGCCAGGTATGGTACATACATACTTATATTGGTCTAATAAAGCTTTGTAAAAATTGCCATACCTGGAGATCAGCTTTAAAGTGGTTCTAAATCTAAACCATTTTTTACCTTAATGTATTCCCTGTATTGGTGACTTGCCCTCTTGAGGATTTACCCCCCTAACCACCCCTCTTCGCCAGGCCATTTTTTGCAATTACGGCGCTGCTACATTACTTTAACTGACAATTGTGCAGTCATGCAACGCTGCACACAAATGAAATTTACGTCCTCTTTTTCCCATGAATAGAGCTTTCTTTCAGTGATATCTGATCGCCTCTGCATTTTTTTATTTCTTGAGCTATAAAAAAAATAAGACTGACAATTTTGAGACTTTTTGTTATTAAACATGTTCAGTAAAAAAAATTCTAAAAATCAAATTTCGTCATAAATTTAGGCCAAAATGTATTCTGCAACATGTCTTTGCTAAAAAAAAAAAAAATCCCAATACGTGTAAATTAATTGGTTTAAAGTTCGTGTTTACAAATGGCGGTATATATACTTGGATTTTTTATTTTATTTTTTATTTTAACTAGTAATGGTGGTGATCTTATAGCGGGACTGCGGCGGGCATTCTGCAACTGGGGGGAACTGACTTGGTGTCCCTGACATCCCCAGTGACACCAATACAGTGATCAATGCTAATAAAAATCACTGACACTGGACAGGAAGGGGTTAACGTGGGGCAATCAAAGGGTTAACTTTGGGCTGTGTTAGTGCTTTCCACTGTAAGCACACTGCTTTGCATTGCTCTGTAAGGGGAGGAGGAGATAAACAGCACAATGTTAAAAATATTACACGTTTAAGTCGCCATAA